CGATTTGGATACGGACATGCAATTTTGGGATTTATAGACTAGGAATTTTCATACGAGGGCGAGGAAATGTTCTAGGTGGCAAGACGAATCTAAAGACCGTAACCAAATAAGACAGCGCAAAGCGCCATCTGTCGCACCAGAATCGGCCATTGCGGAAGGTACGTAGCTGCTGTGTAACTGCCCAACTAGCAAAGTAGTGCTATAAGCTTTTGGTTAAAGAACCGTTCAGCCATAAAAGCTCTCTATTGTTGTTGCCTGAACACCAAAATGCTGGCTTAATGTTGTGTGGAATGCAAATTTGCTTTCTGTAACATATTTGCTCTAAAATGAGGTGTTTAAAATATTCTTATAGCATAGTTACTACACAACACCTTATAGGACAAATTTTTAACTGTTGCATAAACGTTTATACAACTATTTTATACGGCATATTTGCAGGTTAGTCAAAATGGTTGTGTTGTGGCATCCATGGTAACGTTTATAAAACAAACCCGAGCCTTGTTGTTTTGCTGTGCATATTTACTAATTTAGCCAACAAATTGCTCCCAACGGAAGCACTTATACAACTGTTGTTTAGTAACTGTTAAAGGCTGTACATATGCTAAATATGTTGGTATACAACTTCACCATAACCTAACTTTCGGCTGTCATATTTTTGTTAAAATGCCATAATCAATGTTTTAAGATAAACACCGCATGCATATTGGTTAAAAAGGTTTTATCAACTGTTCAAACAGAAGATATAGATCTGCTACAAATTCTAGGTAAATCATTCGACACTGTCGGTATTCCATTTCTGACATTTGTCAAATTGTTGTATAACACCTGCAGGCAACACCAAATTATTCTAATAAACTAAAGACAACATGGACGATTATACACAACCACCCGCCATATTGGGCAAACATTTATTCCTTTATTTGATATTAAATAATTATGTTTCAGTTCTAAATTACAGATATAAAGTGATAAACATTAGTGTAATTGTTGTCTAAATATAGGATTTGTGGACGATTTAACGCAGATAAGTTCAGTTTTCCATCTTAAAAATCTAGACATACTTTTGATAATTATCAAAATATGAATCAAATACGAAGCCCGTAGAAATTGCGTAACTACTTTGCACGATAATCACAATAAAATTTGCTGCGCAAGTAATTCAATAGCCCTATATCACAGTGTAGAAGTTTATTATATACCTATGATGAAATTCACAATGGCCGATATGTAAGTAAACAAGACGTAACAGAATAGTTGCATAGTTGACAAAAACTGAATCTTGCACTGACGCAAATGCCCTATAGCGGCTGCAAGAGGCTTACACTTTTGTTGTATAACTGTTACCTGCAGCCCTTATATAACTTCTTAAATGACTGAAGTGTCCTAATAGGTGTGCCCATTCCGCTTGTATAGCTGTTCTAAGAGGGTTTTGCCAATGTTCTTACAGTATACAATGCTGTGTAAGGAATACTGTATAATCATTCTTGCAACTCTAATAGGAGTGATAATTGTTAGTTGGGTGTTAGGGATCTCAGCTCGAGTTAGTCGCAAAGTCACCACACAACCGCTAGATGGCTGTAAAGTAGATGTGGTCTACTCGCCATAGCAGCTAGGCGCCTTTCGCAGTGGCCGATTCGGGTTTGTTATATGGCGGCGCTTATTTCGATAGACCGTACCTCCGGAATAGAGGATAGTTGCGATGTTTTCCTTCGTTCGTTCAGAGACAAAAGACCAAGCCTAGACCATGCTGATGAAGCACGAAACATCAGTTCATGGTGGGCTGTCCTATTCGTTCGGACGGACAAAAGTATCATGTTTGGTTAAAGAAGATTACGTAAAGAAACGTCTGCCCATAGAGGCAGATTGCATGTGTATGTGTGAGAAACGCTTTCACGCTACCAGATTTTTTTTATTCACTGTCTAATGAGCAAATAAAGAAGTTGTAGACGAAAAAATTTGATGGGCAAATAATAGAAACAGCGTCCGTATCTTCGCCGAAATACAAGAGCTTCCCAGGCGGTCGTTCATCCGTGTAATTGCTAGTTACGAAGTTTAGACAATTATTTGCTGAAGGACGAACGTATCTTTCTACATTCTCATACTGAAAATCATACAGTCATTATTTTTTTGATGGCATAGTAAATTAGAGGATAATTTGGCAGAGAGCTGCTGCTGAAAAACATAAAACTCAAGCTTATTAAGAACATTATTACGTAAATTATTTCTATTTGAAATTCGAGAAATCTATAAGTTTGCCAGGAAACAATTTCGCATCCTGCGAGATAAACCATAGCTTGTGTTTTTTATTACGACTCTGTTAGCTTCTGTACATCGAAAACAGGCTGTTATGACCGTTTATTTGCTTCTATATATCAATATTATGAAACAATATGCTTAAGGGTTCTCCTCTCTATCCTACAACGTCAACGCCGGTGTTCTCAAGGGGTCGTTATTGGCCCTGACACTGTTCCTCTTACCTATCAACGACCTATCCAGTAAGATTAACCCAAGCCGCAGCTTTGCTGATGACACCACTCTACATGCAGGAATTCAGAGCGGCAAGCCGTTCTCTGCCGGTGAGCTGGAAAAAAAAGGCTAGCAGCGACTTCCTCTCTGGCGAAAGCCCTGGTGGTTATCACTGCTCCGTCCTAGTGCTCATCCGATTTCGGTGGCTTTCCGGGTTCTGCCAAAGAGCCGTTCACCGAGTCCAGATCACCGAGGACTTTCCCTGGCACGAACACATCTCGTCAATAGCGGCAGGTGCTGGGAAAAAGCTAGGCTATTTGTTTAGGGCTAGTACTTTTCTCCGCATCCCCCTGACTGTATATAAGACCTAGCCTCGAGTATTACTCACACTTTGGGGTGCTGCCTCCCTGACTACATTATACAGTCTCCAGACCCTTTCGCACCAGCGAGTCATCGGCGATCTACCTCTCTCTTACCGCCAAACCAACTTACTTTCTTCCTCAGAGCCACCGCGCGATGTGACACAGACCCGCCTGATTTCGGTCTCCCATCCTGTGTCGAACTTCATTCATTCTCAACTGGCCGATACGACCACTCCTTTGTGTCGAGGGTATCGAGACTGTGGATTAATCTACAAGAGGTTGCTTTTCCCAGTTCTAACCTTAGGCTTAGCCTACATTATAGCCCATAATAGACTTCATGCCATTCCAGCATATCCAAAGCGATCACGTATTCCAAAATGTCAATATAATAAATGGCACCAGAAACACATATACAATTTTTTAGTTTTACTCAAAGCCGAGGGGGCAGGTGTCAGGAGGCGGGTGATAGGAAACCTGAGACGTCACTTGTGTGCGTTTTTCATTGGTTTTAATGTATCTTATACTCGACATAAGTGGCGGGAGAAGACGCGGTGATACCACGGCGATATCACCCGCATTTGCGAAATAAGACAGACGCCACTCGGCGTAGCGACAACAGCGTTGCCATATTGTGCGAGTTTTTTTCCAATTTTGGTTCCTGAAATTTTTGGGAGGCATAATTTTCATAATTTTTAACCGTGTCGAACTAGCCACTGCCAAATAACAGTGTCAACTTTTGTATCTTGTATACCCTATCCAAAACAAAGGGATACGGGATCTCGGTCTCGATAGTATTGATCAAGAACGGGGTGCGGAATAGTAAGACAATATAATACTATGCTGTAATTTTATTTGACGCATCTGTCAACCCTGTAGGGCAATATTCGCAATATGGATATTCAGATTTGCTATTGTTAGGTCTGTGAAACTATAAATTAATCTTAACCCGTCACCTGCAGACTATCGCCAATCACCCGCCACCCGTCGCCTGCCACGTTGGAGTATAACCACGGCCTAAGAGTTATACTGAAATGAAGTTCCTCAATTTTCGAAATGCTATACAGAATTTGTGCCTGAGAGTATTTTTTTGATTCCAACTCTTAAGTATGATACGCTGTTATTATTATTTATATATATATATACGTATATATATAGGTGAAAAATTAAAGCTTCCTCCTTTTGTTGGGTACTTCGACAAAAATTTAGCAAAGAGGACTCTTTATACTTTTTTTAATTCTCTCTAGCTTTCAATGGACTTTGCCATCATCATCAGGAGCTGCAATTACAATGATAACAGTAGCAACAATAGTGTAAAATGAATTTAAATTGACTTAACTTACAGTAGTATGTGAGGATGTTGCTAATTGTTGTTTACGTTCAGGATGAGGGAAACACCCAGTAACACGGTGAAAGCTGGATAGATGGTACAATGGTCAAAATTATATAAAATACACACAAATGTGTGACAAGAACAAGTTAAAAACAGATTAAAAATTTTTAGAACATGAAAGCATTACATCGTGAAGCCACTTGATGATTGCACAAAATGGTGGTCATGGAATAGTGAGTGAGATGAACCCTTTGACAGAAGGCCGAAGGTTGTCAATGTACAGACAGGTAGAAAGATGGAACGAATTGTGGGCGTGTGCCACGTTGCCAAATCACTTTAGATGATGTGATTTTCAGAATGTTATGTAAGAAATTGTTAAACCGACCAGAGGCAGTTGAATTAACTATATTTTAATTAATGGTAAATTAAATTAACAATTATTATTAAATCGTGAGGAGAAAATTATTAGAATTTGAGTGGAATGAAGTTTATTGGTGGAATCGACCAAGAAACAGATTCCATTTATGGTTGTGTACTACTGTAAGTTAAGTCAATTTAAATTCATTTTACACTATTGTTGCTACTGTTATCAATGTAATTGCAGCTCCTGATGATGATGGCAAAGTCCATTGAAAGCTAGAGAGAATTAAAAAAAGTATATTTGCTTAAATTTTGTCGAAGTACCCAACAAAAGGCGGAAGCTTTAATTTTTCACCTAACTGGTCTAGACGACAATGAGCACGTCTCAAGTTATATATATATATATATATATATATTATTATCTATAGCCATTCATTCCAAAAACTTCCAAATTCTTCGGTACTGACGAACCACATTTGCAGAAGATACAGTCAAGTGCAAAATCGAATATGTTGCACATATCCTCAACTTTCGAAAATTCGCTAAGACGCGACGTGACCTCAAGTCCGGTCAGCAAGAAACATACCTCTTGCAAAGGCACAGCTCACGGAACTGGAAACTATGCTCCGAAACCAGATAAAGAATGTGACCTCGTCCATAGTCCTTTCCAAAGGACTGACTCGAAACGATGGTCAAAAAGAAATAAGAAAAGTGGTGAAAACGAAAACGAAGAACCGTTCCAAAGAACCTCTTCAGGCAGATGGTCTGGCAGAAGCGCTAAGGGTAAACCAGATAGTAAAACAGCAAGTGTTAGCTCCGAGTTTAGCGAGTCAGACTCTTTAGATTCTGTTGGGGATAAGACCAAGAGCTCTGACACTATAGATGATGGACTGAAGAAACTAGATGATGTTTCTAGTAGATTGTTTAAGAACGTAACGAAATCTTCTATAGCAAAAACTGCCAAGATGAGGCATCTAGATATCTTCGACGTAGATGATAATACTTGGATGGGTGGTCTGAGAAAAAGTACAGCTGTAGAAGATTTGAGCAAGCAGAAACCTCCAGCAGACCTAGAGAGCCCATTTTGCAGGTCCCGAAATAATTCCTATAGAAGAAAATCGACTGATTCAAACACTACGGAGAATGGTAATTCGAAGCCTCCAAGTGGACATCAAGAAAACGGTTTTGCACGAAGCAAAAATGGGTCAGTTAAAAAGAAAAATGAGTTGGTGAATGGGTTTGGGGCGAGGAATAGCTTCAAAAGGACAAGTTTTAATAAGAAGCTGACGAAAATCAAGGCGATTCCTTACGATGAAATTTTGTTCATGAGTAACATCAGGAAGACGGCTGGGTTTTTTAGTATCGCTGACAAGAATAATTGTTTCAAGGATTTCGGGGAATTGGTGGACAAGAAGGAAAATGGAGAGGTAAGTTGAGATGAGAACAAGGTATTTCGAAGATTCTTCAAAAATCACTGTATCTTAGACCCTGATATGTTTATAGACGGATCCTTTCTAGAGTCGGTGGAGTCAGATTATACAGAGTGTTCCGGAAAGATGAGCCAATATTCCTAGGGTGGAAAGTACATCCAAAAATAACAAAAAAGCTCTTATAAGTAGTTTTATTTACGAAATTAAAAAAATATATATCTACGGAGCGGGTGAAGATACTGAGCTAAGATTTTAGACGTTCAGTGAAAACATCACAAGCAATAAACTCGCAGAGTTTCTTGGCCCAAACTAAACCAGGAACGTAGAAGCTGGAGTACCTAGTCACCTAATACCTAATAAATACTTTCTACGCCATTGGCCATTTGGAGGAAAAAAGTGCATTTTATAGAATACCATTCATTTTTCCATAAATTCAGTTTCTTAAAGAATTTTTGTCAGATCACTCGTTTTGAAGATATTTAGATTTGAATATTTGAGGTAAAATCCTAAAATATGCTAAAGCATCATATTGGAAAGACTAAATGGCATGTGAAGCAAGCTATGGCACATCATTATAACATTTATTGAATAATAACTTATCCTCAATCAGTAGGGTAGAAGCTTAGCTTTCATTAAACCTTGTCTATGTACGCCACTGGTTTTCATGGAATACTTCTCCTGGAATTACCCGTGTTGGATTCATCTGTTTGCCAACTACTACCTTTGAAACCAATCAATTCGAGTAAAATTTTTATTATTCTTGGACACTAAGTATGAGGACGAGGTATATAGGCTTTCAACACCTGTTCGTACTACGTCAGGTATTTTCCAAAGAGTCAGAGAGCTTTTGTGGCGTATAGCACGGGCATGTGTTGAAATTCAGAGGTGGTCACCGCCAACACCTGTAGGTTTGGGCGTTATAGCATTTCTTCAGCATTCTTTTTTGTTCCCAATGTTATGTCCTCATAAATTTAGAAATAACTACGTAAGTTGTATCAAGCTTAATGTTTATTGCTGTGTGTTAATTCTTATTATCTTTATTTATCTATTTTTGAAATAAACGTTTTCTTTATTTTGAAGTTTCTTTATCTATAAATACAAGGGTATTTCTCAACAAATTTAGAAATTTCGTTTTGCATTTATTAAAAAAAAATAATGAAAATATATCCTTTTTTTGCATAAATATACAGTTTTGGTTTAGTGAGGTTCACTGAAAATGAAGGTCCTCCATATTTTTGTGTATAACATGTAGAAAAATGACTTTTAAAAAACTATGAAATGAGGAAATGACTGATAGGATGGGGGAATGATTTTTACAACAATTTCAATAAGAAACATAAGTTAATTTATTAATATTATATTGAGATTTGTTTTATACTTCAGAGATCTCAGATAGTCCTTCTTCCCTGGGTACATCCTCGTATTTTAATCCTTCTCTAAGAAATGAACATCACCCTTAACTTTCAGCATTTTGGAGCTAACTTTACGAGTACAGTTCTTTTTGTAGGTACCGTTTTTGAAAAGATGTTTCGATCTATATAGCAATTTGAATCGTTTGTACTAATTGCAGCTTCAACATTTTGTAATATTTTTTCTTTTCTCCATGTTTACTTCCAAGATCTTCATAGATATTCTTGAGGCCCGTTTACAGGCTTCTCCGAAAATGAGTATTTTTCTTACAACGTCAGGAACTTGTATATTGTTTAAAAGCGAAGGCACTTTAGTTGCTGGAGAGTTTGGGTCAGTATTTTTAGTTGTCAATCTCAGACACCTCTCCTTAGATTTTTCGATAAGCTTGACTGCGTTCCTTACTTTATTTTCCAAACTTTTAATCTTCGCGTACAGAATAGTCCGCCGTTTGCGCATGCTACGTCTATTGAGAGCAGACAAACTCTCTGCTCTGTGCTGTAAAGATGGTGCAGGACTTGGTTGGGGTGTTTCTTCGACTATTCTCTGTAAATTTGTAATGTAACTCGCTTTTCCCTATAAACTTTACTATTCTTTTTCCATTGTTTTCGTTTTTGGCTAGTTTCTCTTGCACTCATAGAACTTATCGACTTAACTTGACCTTTACTCTTCTTCTTTAAATACTTTATTCTTTCTTTTTCACACAAAGCTTCTGAAGACTCAGCATTAATTGTCATTTGTTCTCGACTCTTTCTGTCGTACTCCTTTCTTTTAATTTTTTCTCTTCTTCACTTAACTTCTGCATTTTACCCATTCTTGATATACGGAAATTGAAAACACATGCTATACAACCTAGAGTTAAACAATAACATCCAAAGCACAATTTTATATATGCATTCCCTCATATAATTTCCATTGCTTCACTTTCTAATATAGTGAGGGAATGACGGATTTGCATAAACGACACCGTAACCAACCATTTTATTCCCCAAAACAAGAAAAGAATCATTAAAACATTCGAACAGTATAATGACTTACCTTTTAATATAAACAGTGAGGTAATGACACAGAGAAATGTAATGTTCTAATTATTGAAATCCAATACTTTTTTGCAGCAACTCTTTTCACTATTAAGAAATTCCGCCATGTTGCCATTATTAGCAGTATTGCCAAGTGTCTAAAACATAACAGCTGCGTGCAAAAACATCAAATGGTGTGACCAGAAACCGAATATTTATAATAGGTGGCGGAATGATTTCATTTCAATGGACATATTTTAAATAGATTTTTTTATATACGTATCTATTTTTTAGCAATAAAAGCTTGACTATACAATCCATACTTATTACCAAATATTTTAGTAATATTCAATTTATGAGAATATGAACAGATTTGATTGTATATATTTTTTATTATTAATTTCAAACAGAGGGACGAGATGAGGGAATGACTTTTAGACTAATAAATTAATCGTATTTTTTTAAATTGATGATAAATCCATGGAATTCAGCATCAATGGCTTAGGACATGAATTTAGAAATTTGCTGAGAAATACCCACAAATGAATATTCCTGCTAAAACCAGTGGGATTCACAGGAAAGGTTTACAGATTGAGGATAAGACACGTATATTATTCAATTAATGTTCAAATGTTCAAACCTAAATATCTCCAAATGAAACTTCATCACCCTGTTATTTTTTGATGTACTTTCTGCCCTAGAAATATTGGCATGTCTTTCTGTAACACCCTGTATGACCTGGAGACTGGAGAGCTAAGGCTTGCAGGAAAATTTTACCGTAGGAGCCTGCGTAAGAGTTTTCCAGGCAATATGTTTTCATATTAACATTTTGCTGATTCCACTGGACAACAAATTTTAGTTTTTTAATTGTATCTTGTGGGAAAAGTGCACTTCTTTATTAATTTTGGGGCGCTAAATCCAAAAATGACAATGAAATAAAAAAATTAGTTGCGGTCCAACAGTAGTCTGCAAGCATGGAAGGATTCCACTTTCCCTGGTACCTTTTTTCCATTGTTGAAATATCCTGATGAAAACGTTCGCCGTGCTCATCACTTACGGCTCCGCAATTGTCAGGAAAAAAGTCCAGGTGTGAGTGTAGGAAATGTATCTTAAGAGACATATTACAGCCCATCTTTTGATACGATGACAGCATATTTTTGACAAGGGTTTTATAGTTGTCAGCTTTTCTATTTCCCAAGAAATTAGTGACCACCAGACGGAAATCATTCCAAGCAGTTTTTTCAATACCTGTTAAAGTGTTTTCAAACAGTGTATCTTTCAAAATATTTCGAATCTGTGGCCCAACAAAAATACCTTCTTTAACCTTTTCCTCACTTAGTCTTGGAAATTTCTGACGCAGGTATTGAAAAGCTGACCCATCTCTATCTAATGCCTTTACAAAGTTTTTCATTAGGCCCAACTTGATATGCAGTGGTGGTAATAAAATTTTTTTCGAATCTACTAATGGCATATGCTGTACATTTTTTTGACCTGGCTCTAGGAATTGACGAACAGGTCAGTTTTGTCTGGTTTAATGAAGTGCCTTTGCCCGACTGTCCCATTCTCACAAAAACAGCAAAACTTTGTGTAGCCTAGCTGCAGCCCAAGTAAAAGTGCAACAACTTTCAAATCGCCACAAATATGCCATTGGTGCTCATCGTATTTTATGCATGTCAATAGGTACTTCATATTGTCATATGATTCCTTCATGTGAACTGCATACCCTACAGGAAGAGATGGTAAAATATTTCCAATATCCAATAACACTGCCTTTAAACTCAATGTTGAACTGTCTATAAACAATCTCCATTCTTCTGGGTTATAGTTTATATATATTATTATTATATATAATGTTACTGCAGAAAACCAAGTTATTCTCCATATTGAAAAATGGTTCTAAGTCTTTGTGGCGTTTACGAAAAACACATACCGAAACATCGTCTTCTAACAAGTTCCACTGCTGCAGTCTTGATCCAAGTAACTCTGCCTTACATTTTGGAAGTTCTAAATCTCTTACAAGATCATTTAATTCTGACTGTGTTATTTTGTGCGGTTGGTGGCATGACGTGCTCGGTATAAAATCAGGATCTCTTGACGTTGATGGCATATCTTCTTCCTGACGAATCACTCGATCGCCATGATCTGATTCGTTTTCTGATTCGCAAGTGTAAGATTCTGGGGGTTTTGGAATAGGATTTTCGTTACTGTGAGGCACAGGTCTCATCGCAGATGGTATGTTTGGGTAGTTAATAACCGATTTTTTTTTCTTGGACATACCTGTGGCTTGTTCAACACAAGGTACCATGCAAAAGTAACAATCATTAATATGATTTGTAGGCTCTCTCCAAACCATTGGGACAGCAAAGCGCATAGACCGTTTTTTGCCATTTAATCAGCTCCTCAGACTTGAAGCACATGTATTACAGCAGATGTGGGGTGCCCACTGTTTGTCTTGATCACCTAGTTTACAACCGAAATAAAGCTGATATGCCTTTGTTATTAGTGGAGTAATAGACCGTCTCTGAGACGCAAAAGTCACATCACCACACACGTAACAAAACTGATCTGGAT